ACATTTCCTGAAAAACGTTTTTAATCATGAAAAAAATTTTTCAGAAGTATGCATACCCGTTGAGTTAAAACTATAATAAGTAGCTCACTTTTATTCACTTCTTTATATTTAAACAAGTACTTTTCACTACTGTTTTCTTTTTTTTCCCTTTAAATATGCCTGGAAACTCTATGCATAATTTTCTACTATTTTTAATTACCGTTTTTTGTGATTTTATAGAAGTTTTATGTGTACCTATTTGATTGTTTTGTATTATAGCTTGTACAAAACAACTTAATATAAGTTGAGAAAATATTTATTGTATAGTATGCTTGCTATAATTAAACATTCATTAGTTAAAATAGATATATTTTAAATCTATACTAAAATTAGCCTACAAGTACAGCACCTAAAGAGCCAAGTAGTGCAGTGTTCAGGAAAAGAAGAAAAATAGGTACAGAAGTGGATCAGAATTATAAAAGGTAATTAAAAGTTTAGTCAGAAAAATACAGTATTGCATCTACTATGACAAAAATGGTCTGGAAATGAATGAGTTTCTAACATTGATATTATTAAAATAAAATTATCAAATTCATAATTAGGAAATTATGATTCATGAATTAAAGAATTAATTATTAAAGATTTTCTTTAAAGTTAAAGAATTTTCTTTGAGGTATAAAAAAAGAATTCCAGAAAGTAAAATGTTAAGAATTACAGGAACTAGTAAATATGTAAATAAGCAAGAAAATAAGAAGATACTGAATGAAATACATTTTAATAATCCTCTAACATGGCCACCAATGACCTATGTTAAAAAGTAAAGGATTTTAATAGACCATGGACTTGACCAAAGATAAGGCACAATTTTAGATAATACATTTTATAAAGTAGATGAAGATTTTTATTTTTTATTATCTTTTTTTAAAGATTTTATTTATTTATTTATTTATTTATTTATTTATTTATTTATTTATTTATAACAGAGAGAGAAAGTATAAGCAGGGGGAACAGCAGAGGGAGGGGGAAAAGCAGGCACCCCACTGAGCAGGGAGCCCAATGTGGGACTCGATCCCAGGACTCTGCAATTATGGCCTAAGCCGAAGGCAGTAAATGTTTAACTCACTGAGCCACCCAGGCACCCAGATGAATATTTTTAAAAGACTTAAAAAACAAGTTCTAATAGTGAGTTGATTCACTGGGACTGGCTTATTTATTCCAGAGAATTCTCTTTATTTTGTTTTCTTTTTCTTCTTTTTTTTTTAAGGTTTTAAGTTTTTATTTTAATTCCAGTTAATTAACATACAGTGTTAAATTAGTTTCAGGAGTACAATTTAGTGATTTATCTCTTTATTTGTTTTCAATGAATACTTCCTTGCAGAAATAAAACAGTAAAATATTAACAACTAAAGAAAGAAAGCTTTAAATATTGGAAAAATTTAAGATTTGTGAGTATAAAAATTAAGAAATGTGTATTTTATTTTGATAATTTTATAAAATGAAAGTATTTTTTAAAATATTCAAACTGATAGTTTACTATTGCTTTGCAGAGGGCAATAAAATTAGAGAAACAAAAATGACAGAATATTTTGTGAGTGATTTTAGATATTATATTTTGTGCAAAAAGTAACTTACTACTAAGCACAAATAGTCTCTACATTTTTATGTAACATGCCCATATTGGATGATATTTTGGATCATGTGGGAAATGTTAATAAAGCTTGGCAAAGGAAAAAAATCCCCAAACATGAATATATATAAAGCTGCATGATTAATAGAAGGCCTGTCACTTTGCTTGCAACAAATGAGAGAAAGTAACTGTGAAAGAACATTTGACAATTATAAAGCTTTAGCAAGAGACACAAATATGCTACTTGAATGAGAAAGTAGGTGAAAATGAAAATAAACAAACTGGAAATGTGTAATTTGCCAAATAAGGGTATTACACATTGTGGAGAAATCCTGCATCAAGTGGAAATTAGGGAGATTATAAATTTTAATATTATCCAATTAATAGATAATAAAATTATTATAGATAATAGCAATATCAGTAATTTGAAATCCAAATTGTGTCTAAATCTTCTAAAACTTATTCATGACATTTTCTTAGTGCAATCTTACCCACATTTTGAAGTACCTTGAGAATTTTTTAACAGCTGGTCGTAGAAGCATCCTGTGAAAGATGTTTCATGAAGGTGAAGTTAATTAAAATTTATTTAAGATCATCACTTGGTTAAGAGAAACTGGCAAGCATGGCAGTTCTCTCATTGGAAATGAGATTTTTAAACAGCTTTCTTGAAGCATAATGGACATAAAAAATACTGTACGTATTTAATGTATACAATTTGATGGTTTGGGACATCTGAAAATGTTAGTGAAACCATCACCACAATCAAGACAATAAAATATTATGGATGAGTTTGCTTCAGTTAAAGTCTCCAGCACTTTCTTTAATATTTCTGGGTATATGTCAGCTGATGATGGATTCTTCCAGCTTTTGTGTGTCTTGAAAAGTCTTTATTTCATCTTGGTTTTTTCAAGACATTAGTTTTGCTGGGTATAGAGCACTCAGTGATAACTCTTTCTTTCTGTACTTTAAGAATGATGCTTCACTGTCTTCTTGAATTTTTTTTTCTGAAGAGAAATCTATTATCATCCTTATTTTCTTCTGCATATAATATCCTGTGCCCCCCATTGTCTTTAACATCTTCTCTTTATATATTTGGGTTTTAGTAATTTGATTATGGCATGCCTGGGTATAGTTTTCTACATTTTTCTTGACTTGATGTTCATAGAGTCTCCCAGATTTGTGGATTTATAGCCTTTTAATTTGAAAAATTTTCAGTCATTATTTCTTCAAATAGTTGTTCAGTCTCCCTTCCCAGTCTCTGCTTTGAAGACTCAAATTACAAGTATATTAAGGTACTTGAACGTGTTCCACTGCTTATTGGTGACCCATAGAGTTTAAATCTCTTCTTTCTGTCTCACTGTATTTAATTTTACTGCAATATCTTCAAATTCACTTAAATTTTTACCTGATTTCTCACCTGACATAAATCCTTCATGATGTATGTACATGTTCATAATATATATGAAATATATATGTTCATTAGATATATAAAATATATATGTTCATAATATTTGAAATATATATAATCATACATGTGATATATGTAAAACATATATAAGTATATATGTGTGTATATACATACATATATACATATAATCTCAAACATTACAATTTTGCTTCTTCTAGATTTCCTTTGTGTCTTACTGATACCTTCTGTGTCTTAACTTTTTTTTTTAAAGGTTTTATGTATTTGACAGAGAAAGACAGCCAGAGAGGGAACACAAGCAGGGGGAGTGGGAGAGAGAGAAGCAGGCTTCCCGCGGAGCAGGGAGCCTGATGCAGGGCTTGATCCCAGGACCCTGGGATCATGACCTGAGCGGAAGGCAGATGCTTAATGACTGAGCCACCCAAGCGCCCCTGTGTCTTAACTTTTTGAACATACAGAATATTGTTACAATAGCTATCTCAATGCACTAGTCTGTTCATTCCTACATCTCTGGCAGTTTGGGGTTGGTTTAAAATGATTGATATTTTTTCACATTATGGGGTGGGTTTTTCTCCTCCTTTGTTTGCTGGCAATTTTTAATCGAGTGCCAGTTATTGTGAATTTTATTTCATTGAATGCTACATATCTTTGTATTCTTCTAATTTAATATTCTTCTTTCCTTAGACTCTGTCCTGGGGTCCAGTTTTTACACACAGATGTATCTGTTTGTTTCTTGCTTTTGAGGTATTTTTTTTTTTTAAGATTTTATTTATTTATTTGAGAGAGAGAATGAGAGAGAGAGAGCACGAGAGGGAAGAGGGTCAGAGGGAGAAGCAGACTCCCTGCCGAGCAGGGAGCCCGATGCGGGACTCGATCCCGGGACTCCAGGATCATGACCTGAGCCGAAGGCAGTTGCTTAACCAACTGAGCCACCCAGGCGCCCGCTTTTGAGGTATTAAAGTAGACTGTAAGCATGCTCTTTTTTTTATTTTTAAGATTTTACTTTTTTATTTGACAGAGAGAGACACAGCGAGAGAGGGAACACAAGCAGGGGGAGTGGGAGAGGGAGAAGCAGGCTTCCCGCTGAGCAGGGACCCCAGTGTGGGGCTCGATCCCAGGACCTCGGGATCATGCCCTGAGCCGAAGGCAGATGCTTAACGAATGAGCCACCCAGGTGCCCCAAGCATGCTCTTTTTAAGCATAAGTAGTCGCCAATGCTGAGGCAAAACCCCTCTGTACTCCACTCAGTGCCCAAGGAGTCAGAAGGTTTTTCAGTGGAGGAAATGGATGCTATTCTGTGCCTTTGGGAATGGTAGGCACCTTTCTTCTTAAGCATTTTGGAAGGTTCTTTCCTGCCTTCCAACATGTTCTCAGCTTGATGCACAAAGGGGCTCTCTGGATATCTCCAGAGTTCTCTCCCTGTGTAGCAATCTCTTCTGTGCTTTGTCCTATTACCTCTAGTTTTTTGGTTTCTGAGTCTCAGCTCCATCTCCCTACTCAGCTCATGATGTCTGTGAAGCTGCCTCTGGCTCAGTCCATCTGCACCATGGCCTGCAGGCTCTTGGCTGCAAACTGGGGCAATTGTAGGACTCACTGTGTTTGTGCCCCATCTCTTAAGGACCATTGCCCTGCATTGCCTGAAGTCCAGTGTCTTGAAAAGTGTTTTGAATGCTATTTGGTTTTATGTTGCTTCAGTTCCTTTTACTCCATCTTAACTGGATGTGAAAATACAACCTCAGTGTTTTTCCCACACAACCTTAAAAATCAACAAGAGTGGTATCAACAAATTACAGCAAAAGGATTGTATTCGTTACTTCTGAGTAGGGGAGTTATGGGTGGGGGAGTTCTCTTCTACAGTGCATTTTCTTCCTTTAAAAAAATATGTAATGATTGTTGATGTATTGTATTAGTGATTTTTTTTTTTTTTAGGTGTATAAACTATTTTATTAACAGACAAGGCCTACAAATTTATTTCTTCTTGGACACACCCACGGTGCGGCCACAGCGCCCTGTGGTCTTGGTGTGCTGGCCTCGGACACGAAGTCCCCAGAAGTGGCACAGCCCTCTGTGGGCCCTAATTTTCTTCAGTCTCTCCAGGTCTTCACGAAGTTTGTTGTCCAGACCATTGGCCAGGACCTGGCTGTACTTTCCATCCTTCACGTCCTTTTGTCTGTTCAAAAACCAGTCTGGGATCTTATACTGGCGAG